TTTTCATAGATTTTAGGTCTTGATGAATATAATTTTTAAAACTAAAAAATTATTTTCATGACTTGATATATTCCTTATTAATAATGTTTTTGTTGTTGGCATCTTCCAAAGAATTAATTGTTATATTTAATGGCTTAATTAATATTTTTTTAATAAATCTATATTTAATATTATTAGTAATAAAATTTTGACATTATTCTTTTATCTATATCATCATTGGTTGATAAGGGCATTATTAATTTAATCCAAATTACAAGTAAGGCTTTTGAATTTGATAAGATAAATAGTAGCTGATTATGATCTTTGCTGTAAAAATAAAAAATTATTTTTTTCTATTTTTTTCAATCATTCTTTTTAAATTTAGGCATTAATACTTTTAGGAATAAATTTGGATCATGTGAGGTTTGTGAATTTTTTTCCATCAAAGGTAAAAACCAAAAAAGATTACTTGTAAAGGATAATAAATCTATCAATCTAACTTGAAAAAGTTCCTTGGGGTATTAGAAATAATATAATCTTAAATAGATTTTTGTTGTAGAAAACTTCAAAATTTTGATCTTGTTTTATCAAACTTTTTTTGTATACTCATCTTTGTCTATTTTATATTTGTAGTAGCAAGGCTTTTTAGATTCAATTGTAAAGTTGATTTACTTGATTCTTTCAATTACTTAATTTCTTAGCATAGACATTAGACCCTATTATTGGTTTCTTCTATAGGTATATGAATGGTACTTCTATGACTGATATTGGTAATACATAAAATTTCTATTATAATAGTATTGACAAGCTTGTAAAAATATGTAATTATTGCAAATCTATTCTTACTTTCATTAAGTGTGGCATCCATAATTTTTTTTGTTCTATTTATATAACAAATAACTTTAATAAATCCACAAGTTAAATTAGAGGAAGATAATCTATAACTTCTCATATCAAATCAAATTTTTTACAAAGAAAAGTAAACCATTATATTTAATGTTAGAAGAAAAAAATATTAATTTAAAGGTGGATGGTCTACAATCTTTAAAATACTATAATAAGAAGTGGAATAATCCATTTACTTCTAAAAAACAAAAAAAAAAAAAAAAAACAAAACAAAACAAAACAAAACAAAACAAAAACAAATTGGCACTCTTATAAAATTGTCTAAGATACGAATTGTAATAAAACTCTAAAGAAGCAATAAACTCTTATAATACTCAAAATGAAAAAGTAAACAAATCAAAGATAGATATGAGATAAAATCTAAATTAGCTATTGTCAAATACAAAGAGACTAGATATTCTTGAGCTAAGACAAGAACACCTTGATATCTAAAGCTATAAAGTATCATTTTGTAAAAAATATTATAATAAAATTTTAAAATAATTTTTTCTAAATAAAATAATTATTTTAATTTTTGGTTTTTTAATTTTATTATAAAATGCACTAATTCCATATCTATAAAATTAATATAATATAATAATAAATTAAAAATTTATAAGTATTTTTTGGAATTTATTATATTATTATTTAAATATAATATAGATATTTTTATATTTTAAAAATTAATAAAAAAATTAAAAAATATCAGTAAATTGTAAATTTTATATGTAATATTTAGATATCATATTTTTAAAAAATTTAACATCATATAAAATTAAGAAAAAAATATTAAATTATAGTTTTAATTGTGATTATTTTAATGTAGGAATGATAATGTTTAATAAAAAATACTATTTTTTAATCTATGATTATACTTAAATATAGATCTAGAATAATGTAATACAAAATCAAATGTTTTAAAAAAATCATGTATTAAATAATAAATAGGAATTCATATAATTTTTTATTTTTTTTATTTTTTATTTATAATTATTTTTAGATTTAAATAAAAACCATATTTTATTTAAATACTAAATGATATCTCTAATAATACATTGTTTAAAAACTTATGCCAATAATTACTAATAATAATTTATCTATAATTGGTAATATGATTTTGTTGCTAATGAATTCAAAATATATTTTTAACGTGTTACTTCTTTTATTTTAATTTTTTATATAGTTTTAAAATAAATAAACAAATAAAATCTGCATATAATTTTATATCTATTTTTTTATGAAATTTCAAATATAATCTTATAAGCTATATATATATCCTTAAATCAATATTTAGTTATAATTTAGATCTTAAATATATTAAAAAATAATTTTTTAATAATACAAAATCTAAAAAGATTTCACATATCTATCTATTTATCTACTCTTTTACATGGTATCATGTCTTTTTAAGGTAGGCCAATTAATACAAAATAAGTTTAAAACTATGAGATAGAAAGGTATTAGTAAGTATCTAAATCTATTATTAGAACTAGAAGTTATGAAAAATATGAGTGAAAACAATAAAATAATAAATGAATTGGTCTCTAAAATTTGTTGTAGATAGAATACTTGTCACAGACATACTCATGTAAGCTAGTAATTACATATATAAATAAGTAGAAGTAAGTAAAAGTAGATAAAAATAAGTTAATTCTATAGTATTTGATATGTGAGCTTCTTAGAAGCTTCATAGATGCTGCTTTGACTTCATAGATGTCTTTAATTGACTTTTTAGATTAGAAATGTGGTCAACAAGTTGGCCATGTGCCACACATGTTGTTAGCTTGAAGACCAAGCTAACTATGTCGCCTACACGTAGAAAAACTTACCTTGTAAGTCAAGGCAAGTGTCCTACAAAGTCAACACATATTGGAGGTCCTATAGAACGTCGCCACGTAGCCCCTAGTTAGATAGTATATATAGAGACAAGAATGAAGCCAACTTCACTCTTGTCAACTCCTTTCTTGCTTCTAGTCTAGTTTCAAGGGTCTCTAGTTTTCTTGTCTTTTAGCAATAGCCATTCCAGTTTCTCTTTCAATATACATACTTGTTTATTTATATTTTGTTACCTTTCTTTGAGTGAAGGCTCACTTGTCTGAATTGCTTTTTCATCGAGTTGTTGTCCTTGACAATACTACACTTAAACAATTCTATTAGTACATCAATTAAGTATATGTTATTTGAGCAAAGCCTTCTCTTCTCATTTTTAATTTGTCTATATTTCATAAGTTGTATATATAATATATCATTAACATACATAACATAATATCAAGTGTATTTTAAAAAATTAAGTATTTCTTCAATGAGATGATATTAAATAACTTATTCTAAATAATAATATTATAAATTAGGTTTTTTATTTAAAGAATATAAAACAATTATAATATATATATATATATATATATATATATATATATAATTTAGAATTAAAAATCATTTTAATTTTTTATAAACTTATTTGTGTATTTTATTAATTTTTTAGGGACACATAATTTATATATGAAAACCTAAAATCCAAATACAGTAACTTATAAAAGATTAGATCTTACTTTTATCATTAGTATCATTTTTGTTTCACAAATTATCTAATAGGTAACGAACATAAATAAACGTGGTTGAGACATGATTATTTCAGTAAACCAAATTCAAAATATTTAGAATGAGTTATATCAATTAAGACCATGATCACAAAGGCTTTTCAATCCTATTGTTCTTCACATACCTACACCCACATGTAAATATTTAAGTAAAAATACTGTGGCAATGACTACTATAAATCCTTAAATATTTACAGAGTATTTAAGACAGCTTGTTGTTTCTGTAAAGATGTAATTGGTTTTGCATACATATTACAAGATCCAATATAATTTTTTATGTTTGTGACCACCAACTGGTTATTGATGTTTGATTATGTTTTGGTAGTAAGTGAAATGCTTAATTTTATAAATATTGTATGGTGCAAAATTTTAAAATATTCTTTCACATAGATTACAAAATCAGTTAATTAAAAAAAAATAACATACTGCAATAATCATATCATTGATATATTCATATAAAATAAATAGAGTTATTTTGGATACACAAGAAACACATCATTTGTATTATCTAATTTATAAAGAGCTAAGTCTTTAAATCCCTGCATTGGTTATTATTTTATGATTATAATGATTATAATTATACTATAATCATTTTTTTATTAAAATTTTAAGCTCAATTAAATCCTTAATTGAATCAAGTTTGCAAATAGCTCACAAAAGCATGGAGCTTATAGTTGTAAGAAGTTTTTGATACTGAAGACAACTTCAGCATTATTTATTTACTTATATCATTTATTATTATTATTATTATGATTAGGAAACTATTGAAAAGATAGGATGCATTTGGAGGGAAGCAATACCAGACAAGATCATCCATTTGGATGAATGATATAATAGTTCGTACATCCGTCATGCTCTGGCAATGTCAACCGGCGAGGTGCGGGGGAAGTTGTAAGTGCCAATGGAGGAGGCAGTAAACTCATTTGTCAGGCTTCTTCTTCTTCTTCTTCTTCTTCCTCTTATTGTTTTTTATTGTTATTTTTGTCTCTCTCTCATTTGAGTTTTGATTTTGATTTTTCCAGCTTTCATTTTGCCTTCTTTCCTTCCTTTTCCTTACACTTTTCACTACCAGTTAGAAGATACGCGTACGAAAGCATTGAATGCAATCGTAGACTTGCCACTGATGTGCACTTCAAAGCTCGCCATTAACTTGCGCTGGCAGAGCCATTATTTTTCTACTTTTATTGACGCCTTTCTGGATGTCAAAGTTTAACATCGTCGGCGTTGCGAGCTCAAACCACTCTCTTTTAGCTGTAAGTGATGCTTTTACGCTCCATGTCCCAATGTATGTGCCTTCCTCCTTGTTTGTGTGCATCTCCATGGCCATCTGAACCTGAAAGAAACGGTCGCTAATTTTGAATTGCACAGGTGACATTCCAATCGCTAATTGTGTGTACATTTGTTTTGTTTTGTTTTGTTTTCTCACGGAGGCATGCGAAATCTCCTTTGCGCAGATAGTGGAATCAATTAGCTGTTTGGAGGCTGTGACAGTCTATGCTGTGCGATCGCCCGAGCTGGTAACAGGTAAGGATTCCTAGTAGTCATGGCATCGGAGCCCTGGAGAATGGATCCATTGCGACATTCACCATTTGTGATCAGCAGCGTTGTACTTTTAGTGACGGCTTTCGCATGCTGTGAAAGATAAATCATGCAGTTGCACTGACATTTTCATGAACATGCACGCTTCTAATTCAGCTTCAGAAACTCTGAAGCTGCACTAGCGAGATTCAGTGTAAGCAGGCGCAGTATGATTTAGTTTCAAGCTTTCCTTAACTGCCGGTCTGCAATTCTAGAATTCTGAGTGCTCACAAGGCAGTTGCAACGTCAGAATGCACTAGGTAGTATTCCCTCGTGTAAGTAGGATGATATGATGCGTTCCCATGGGTGGCCGATGAGCTGACTTGTTTCAGTCAGACATGCTCTTTCAATTTCTGGTTCGTTTCCAGGATCCATTTCTGTGTCTGGCAACACGAGTGGGCTGTCAACTATGCCATGTGCACATCTCATCAAAGAACCCTCTACCTGCCTTCTCTGGCGCTTAGCTTCAACTGTAATGAGCTGCAGAGGCCCGAGCTTAGCAAATTTAAATCCCGTTTTGGATTATTTTAAAGTACAATCCTAGCACACAGAAAATTCTGGACGGAAATCATCGCAGTGGCGCTCAATCTAAGCCAGTTGGGCGCAGGGATACATGTCTTCTTGGAATGCAACTGAGAGTTTCTGAATTAGTTCTGGACGGCTTCTTGGAGCCTTGGTGTGCTTGGACCACCACGTCAATACATCAAGAAATATTTAAACTATCAAGTTCGCGCATGAACTCTCACCATGGAAACGCATCCGGAGTTCTATCACAAAGTTGAAGTGCTCTACATCCTTATCCAGGGGAACGAGCAAATCGGTCATCCACACATGATACAAGTGCAGTATCCCTCCCATCAACAAGCTCCTACTCTTAGAGGTTTGCCGTACCGCTCCTTCTCTTTCTCATCACTTGATTCCATCTCCTTCTCAACCGTACTCGTCCTAGTGTTGATGACATTGGCTCCTGTTTCTATGCGTGATTGGGGCAGATGTAAAGTGCCGCTTGACTGCGCTCCGTGGGAGAGGCATGCCGGATTTATACTCCTGGTCTTACAAAAGGTAAAATTAAGAAAACCTCTCGTTCATTTAGTCGATGATGAGTCTTCCTGTGGTAGATTCATTACCGGATAGCACAAATTCTGTGGTAGAGCCTGACTGATCATATGCTCTTTCAGCCTCAAAGTTGATGAGTAGATCTCTTGATGAATAGATCTCCTCACTGTTCTTCCTTCGATACATGTACCTGAGCTGTACCATCGCTGCAAATCGTCATTATGAAGGCGAGTGACTACTTCAAATTCTGGATATATTTATTTTTATTTTTTTTAAGGATAGACGGAAAGTAACGCAAATTTTGATGTAGGAGCTACAAAGGAAACTTCATTTGGTGTGACGTATTCGACAATGATGTTATACTACCTCTCAGTGGAAGTGGCGAATACGTTCTCAAAGCTCTGGAGGTTTTTGAGGTATCACTAGGTGCGTAACTGTTATTTAATCTATTCAAGACATTGTCACCGAGGTGCACAATCTGTTGCAGGTTGTCATGCTTTTTACGCACGCTAAGGTCGTCACAGATTGGTAAAGCGCATAAAGTGAGCTGAACAATTTGCTCTATTTTGCACAAGCGTTAAATATTGACGAATTGTTTGCTATCTTATCCTACCTAGATGCCTTGGACCAAGAAGTAGCGGTGCACCAGGTGGCGGCTCAGTCGGCGATGAGGACATTGCCAAGAAATAGATGTAGAGGGACTGATCAATCACCGATGCAGGAGCAACATCTTACTGAAATGCATATTATTGGCAATGTCTGCAATACGATTTCTAGTATCTTGGAATCGAAGCACGATTTATTAAGCGACTCAGGACTCAATAACATCGCCACAAAGGTGTTTAGCAATTACCACATCGATATTTACAACTGCGGTAGACCTGCATTTGTATCTGGAGACTTGATTGAGAATAATAATGCCTTTGAAAAAATCAAAGTAAGTGATTCGTCAACATGCAAATGTGTCTCAAACGGGAACGAAGGAATTTTGGCTGAGCCCTGCGACACATCCTCAAACTTTATCTCTGGAATGCTCTCCTCACATAAGGACGCGAAGATGGAAGCGAAGGAGTTGCCAGTTGGTCTGATGATGGTTTCCTCTGACCATAGTGAGAAGTGTTCTTTTGTAGTCCCAGCAGCGGGATTTTCGGGAAGGGAATCCACTAAGAGGAGAACATGGGCTGTGAAGAAACAAGATAATTCTATGACAATCGATGGCAGAACCTCACGAAGGTCCAGCCAGGATGATCGAGTACCCACAATGAGTACACGAGACTCACCATCCACTTCGATTGCACGGCCTTGTTTACCAGTGCATCCATTTACTTTTATGGTAAAGAAAGCTATTAGGTTTCGGCGCACACAGTTGTGTACGAAAGTGGAAGTCGTGGAAAGATTCCGAACTGTACCGATCGAAGAACTTAGCTTCCTAAGACCCACATCGAAAAGTCAACATGGAATAGGGTCAAAGAAGGCATCTCCAAAGCCTCGTTACAGTAAAGCTGAGACTGAGAATTCCAAGCTTCAGAGGAGGGGTGAGATGACAGTTGGAGGACAACAGGGAGAAGTCAGAAGCCTCTCTGATGTTTTGGAGACTACGAGAAGTGGATGTAACTCACAGAAAATGGACAAAGAGAGTGTCAGAAAAACTGAATCTGCTCGACAAGTGGTTAATTTTGACGCTAATACTACTGCACGGTGCAGAGAGGTGGACGTTGTTTGTGAAACAGTTTTACTTCCAGAACGAGTCTCAGGGAAGGATCAGAAGGCCGTGTCCGATTTGAATAGCAACCAGCTGCTGTTGAAACCGGATACGAAAAGTTTCAAGGCGGTTACCAAACCAGCTGTGCAACACCCCTCTAAGCATGGCGATGAACAGTCCTCAGCTTCATTCAATCAAGGATTTGCCCATACCCATCATCTCCCCAAAGCTTTCAGACGTCAAGGGGCCACTGTTGAGATGGATCTCAAGCAGCAGAAGTCCCTCTTTCCAGTGTTGATAGGCGCTGCAGCTACCAATAAGACTTCCTTTGCTAGGTAAGAACGAATGTTGCTTTCTGCCGAATATCATCATTTTACTACGTCTACACATCAGCGATATTTTAATTGTCTTATTTCTATTGTTTGGCCGACAAGCACAGCCCAACTTAAACTCTTGTTACGTGATCGAACACTGGACGACAGATTCTTAACAATGTCTGGGTTTCCACAGTAACGATTCTGTCCTGACGAATCAAAATCTAAAAGCGCTGAAATTTCCAAGGAAAGTGAAGAAGAATTTTCATAATAGTTTTCCTGTCCCGGGCTCAGAAAAGCGATTTTCAGATACGAAAGTATATCCATCAAGAGAAAGTTCTGTATTTGACTCTGCAGCGTTGCACGACGATATTTTGCAAGACGTGAACATGGTAAACCCAAAAGAAGAGTTGAAGGTTCAGATGCCTCCTGCCGCAACAAGCTCCCCTGATGAAGAATCAATGTCATCCACAACTGCACCTGTGAAGCAAGACTTCAAGCACAGAGAAGAGAGGTGCACAAATTCCTCTTGTCTGTGATGCAATGCTTTGAAGTTTCGTAGAAGTAGATTTCTGCTTCTACGTTAAACACTGTACAATCAACTATTGTCTCCCAGTTTCCAGTTTATGCACAAATTCGATAGTCTGATCATCTCAAGTCCCCGAGTTTAACAATTCACTTGGAAACGAAATTTTATTACAAGCTTCACCAATTTGTCTACATGGAAATGTAAGTCTTCAATTGACCCAACGAGTATGATCGGGTTCATCAAACCTGAAGTCCAAAATCTGTAAAACGTACATCGCAGACCACTGACACCAGGTCTGACGGAGATGCATTGGGAGAACTTGCTTCAAAAAACCGATTTTCTCAGTCAACCTCCTCAGGATTTGGTTCTACATGAATGCTTGTAAGTGATTCCAATCTGAAAAAAATTGCTTCCGACTTCATGACATCTGGATCACAGCGCTTCAATACACTCTCATTTTGAGCTATCTATAGCTTTTCAGTTATCATTGATGAACCATGCATTTTTTGAAGCTTTTGCGTTCAAGTGACCTTGTTCAATTCCGACTTAATTAGAGTGCGGCTGATGAGTGGAGGGTGAGAAGTGCCTATGCAGTCAATGCGGGAGGACTTTCAAACCTGAATCGTTGAAAGTGCACTTGCGTGGCTGTCACATCATAAACAAGCCCAAGCCATCGGTTTACTTCAGTAAGAGAGTATCCACTACCTAAACGTGGTGTCGGACAAAGCTCGAACAAAGTGTGGAGGCCAGCATGCATCGGGATGCATGCTTTTGTAGTATTCTTGAAAAGCTCTCTGTTGTCAGAGAGGACTCGATGTAGAGATATCTGAAACATGGTTGCAGGGAAAAAGATTTTCTTAATGATGACTTCGAGAATTCAAAACAATTGTCTGGTAAGTTAATTTCATGATGAATTACTTTTGCCTCAAACACCACAAAACTCCCTGTTCGTTGAAGGTCAACTGTATTCCCTAAATGTGTAAGCTTGAGCTTCAAACTTGTGTTTCAAGCCATCAGAACCTGGTGACAACTGGATTGATTCCATTAAGACCTTCCGGCATGAACAGATCTGAAAATAGAGAATTGAAAGGGATAACTGCATAGGTTGAATGGATTCGCCTGCTACAGGCGATGCTTGCAATAATATCACCTGTTCTGAGTCCTTCACACGTCTCTGTGAGCAAATTCGTCACTTAATGATTTCAGATTGAGGGTAATTCACACTCAGAGTGTTGTGTGGAATCCCGCCGCTGTATACGTTTAGGCTAGAGTGTATTATGATAAGTACGTTGACAAATTCCTCGCCTGGGGAATTCCATCTTTGGGCAATCTCTGAACGTCGGTGCTCTTTGGGATGGATTTGAGCACTCTGACATAACTCGTGTACTATCGGGGATGAAGCCCTTAATCAACGCTGGTCCACTAATCTGCGCACCTTTGAATAAAACGTGGTCCCAAACTAGTCATTAACGATTCCATTCATTTCTTTATTCAACTTCAATTTATTCCAGCGATGAAGTCCCGCTCCCGAACGAAGCGGGTGACTACCACAGATTTTTCATGGTTCAAGCACTTGATATATTTACCTGCTCCTAATGCCCAACCCCGTCAAAAGATGGACTGAGCAACAAACAAAAGAATCCTCTTAATAGAATGGGTCAAACCGTTAACGCTTGATACCTCTGGTTCAGATCTTGACATCGTCATTTTGGAGCATTAATAATCAACTCTCTCAAGCACCGGTCGCTGATCCATCATCGTCCTTTCAGTTCAATCGGCAAGACAGCCTGTTCAGACCAGGTGAAAAGCCTAATCAACGCACCGATGAGATTGTTGACGGTAACGGCAGCCATTTCCAGTTTTTGCTTCACTGGCATGAGTGGACAGAAGCGGGGGACGTTGAGAATATACGGCATCGACGTCAATACCGAGTTTGTATTCGTGTAGAATCTTGCTTTTTAACTAAACCGAACCATCATCGCCGGCATTGACTTCGCACTTCTACCAACTCGTAGACGGTGCCACTCATCTCTACAGCAGAGATGGCAGATTATAAATATTAAATTTCGGGCCGATTCCCATCGACGTGCTGGAGTACTCTCTGAAGTTGACATCTCCGACGACACGGTAAACCAGCAAGTGTGAAGTGATGAGGTGCCGATGACGCAATGGACATGAGGTCACTGAAACGTCGGCAGGTCAAAGTCCCCAAATAGAGTGCAGAATACCAACAGCAGCGTAACTGGATCTGTTCTAGAATCAAGAATCCAGAATCCGGAACATATACCCCGGCACACGACCTACCAAACACGCTAGTATATTCTAACATAACGTTCCCGACCTTTTTCTGGGTGTGGTGGCATCACGATCTAGTTCTGAGCGATCTCCGGAACTTGGTTGTGGGGTGGGGCTAATCCTGACTAACGAGGAGGCTGATTGTGAAAAATGCGGCCGAAGCCGCCGCAACAACTGAGTTTGGCTTTTTAGGTTTGTTATCTTGACAAAACCGTCGATTAGAAGACCTCGTTGCAGATATCGCTTCACTGGCGGAGAGATGACGCCTCACATGACCGTTTTGTTGGTTCAAAGGTTACAGACAGCCGGAGTGGTTAGTGTGAAATTTACTAGAGTACTGTAGCCACCTGATTCATGATCCAGGTTTTGATAAACCTATCATGTGGGACCCGAGGCGGTAGCAGTGCCCGAGTGAAGGAGATTGTAACAGGATCTGGAATTTCATGTGTAGCACCGCCTCATCCTCACGCTACCATTGCGCAGCAGAAATGCCAGAGATTCATGGCAACTTGGGTACTAGTATCTCATTATTCCTGGTTCTAGTTTTTCGTTGAATGAGCTGAACTGGCTTGCCGCATCTTATATTTAGAAGATAGCTCAAGTGGCTTCTTGTTTGTATGCGGTAGGAATCGACCCTATCTATGATGTGTTTCAGCCGACTCTGTGCGGTTACGTGGGTGCAAAGGCTTCCATGTCGCAGTGCTCAGGCATCTAATATTGCCTTGACCTATTATATATTGGTGTAACAGGTTATTCCGTTATTTGCTGGTTCATTTGGAGACAGTTTCATGTAGAGGTTGTATCTGTGAAGATAGCGTCTCGTCCTTGCTAGGAACTGTGTGCTGTACATGCAACTCTCACCAGATGTTACACAGAATTGTTCTGCATATCAAGGCAGCCTCCCTGCCGCCCTGTAACCCAGCTATTTGCACTGTGCACCTTAGTAAGTGGCAAGACGAATAATACTGTGTAGTCTTGCAACTTGGATTTTTGTGTTTGCAGCAAAGTCGGTGTAGTGAATAGGACCAGCTCTACTGAATACGCACCAAAATCAATTCGACCGAAGATGAAGGGAGCACAGTTGCTGAGGCAGTTAAGGGCGACGACAATGACGTCTTCGGGCCTCATGAACCGATTGCGCTCCGGCAACGGGCTAACTGCTGTCTTCAAGTAACTTAACTATGATACATAGGAATCTTTGATGCGCTCTTCCATCGTTGTATGTATACTCATGAGTAGGTTACTAACACATGGCCCATGATTAGGCTGTAGACCTTCTCATTTCATTCCTCATCCCTGTGAACGCCACTTTGCAGCTTGTTTTTTCACGATCTGAAATTGGTTAATCAACATTGCTACCACGTGAGGGAGAAGGAAGGGCTACTTCAGACTGCAACATGAGTTGTACTTTGGTGGCAACCCTCGCATCTCTTAGAGAAATCTATGCATGTAGTACGTGTTTTTGGTGGAACGATGAGGTCCTGGAGCTGCTCCGCAAGGGCCAATTATTAATCTTCGCGCACTGTCGAAAGCCTGTTGCTGACAGAGCTCGTAAGCTTTGCGTTGAAAAGATTTTTGCGATGTAGTTTAGGGTCATTGCTCACAGGCCAATCATTGTCATCGAATGCTTGTGCATGGGCGAACTTTGTAGAATGCTGCCATTTTCTCGACTAAAGTGGAAATGCCGGATTCGAGTACAGTCTAGGACCCATTCCGCACACATAGTAGGCACAATTAATCTCAGAAGATGTCAGCTGCCTGTACTCCGTCTACACATGCTTTGCTCTGAATGTGACTGGATTTCTGCAGTGACGGAGCTTTGAGGGGTATGGCAACAACCGCTGATCGCAAATCAATAACGACAACAGGTCCTGTGGATAAGACACCGACCTTGAATGTTGGTTCCGCAAAGCCGGGCCAATCTCCTCGTTCAACCAAAACGCAACAAGTTTGGTGGCGGCCCGATCCAGTGACCGGACATTGGGTACCAGAGTCATCCGACCTGGCGACCAGTTTTGAAGCTCCGCAGTCATCAGAGCGCATTGTTCGCGTCCGTGCCGAGTCTACCGACGCTACGGAAGACAAAGTATGGTGGACTTCCATGGAAGAAATCCCCGACATGGATAGACCCAAAGATCTGTAACTTTATTATAGCAGTATATTCATGATCAAATCCTCAGCTTGTTCCAGTTCAGGGATGTGCGACTATAGATTTGAGTCTGAAGCATCTAGCAGAGGGCTTACGCAACCCAGAGGTATGCGAGCATCTGTCTAAACTGCTTCCATCCGGCCTTTACCATACCATGTGACGCGCAAGCGCCGAAATTTGTCAGCACAGTTTTTTTTATTTTTTTTCTAGAATTATCTTCAAATGTCTGCACAAGTATTTGCACAGATGTAGACATGCTTGGAATCTTCCATGATGCTTTGAATGTTCGAGTGACTAATTGGATTTCCATCTTGATATTGTCCTTGATATGATTCTGATAATCTGATGTTATCTTAACAAGAACAAACATGTGGTGTTAACAACATATATGCATGAGTGTGTATGTGTAAGTATTAAAATTGTGAAACTAATCTGTAAGCGATATTATTGAAAAGATGATTTTAACACATTTTTTAAAAACCAGACAGATAGATAGATAGATATTTCGAACTAGATGTAGACATTCTAAAAATTACATCTAGTCTTTTGAACTCACAAATGTTCGAATAACTTTTTAAAATTTGATAAATAATATTTTTTTTGTGAATTTTTATATTATTTATCATTGGTTATTTTGACAATTTGTTTTTTTTTTCAAGAATATAAAAAAATGTATTTAAAAATGTATATAAAAGATATGTTTCTTATAACAAACATTTAAAGATGTAGAAATGTGTGTCAAAATAGGAAAAAATACATTTTATACAATTCAAGTAAACTTATTAGAATACAGTATCTGAAATGAAGGTTTTAAATTCAAGTCTACAAATATAAAAACTATCATAGATTAGACAACATCTAAAATTGCAGAAGACATTTAATACTTTTTGAAGTTTATTAACTTTTACCTAAATTTTATAAATAATTATTATAACTACTATTTTTTTTTAATGTAATCCACTCGTACAAACAAGGCAATATTTGGAGCTTGAAAAATAATACTTGTTGCAATTCCAATTTTTATAGAGACAAATATATTATATCTTTTTATTAGTTGTAATATTACTCAGGATTGGTGTATGTAATAGACTTTACCTTATTTTATTTTTTTGACTTTTAAATTTATGGAGAATTAGTGGATCATTCTTTCATTCTAAAATATCATTTGCAAAATTTCTAGATAAATCACTTAGATTTTAACAACCTGTATAAAATAAAATTTAACATGAAGCATTTTAAATAAAGATAATAATAATAATATATAATAAAAGATAATGTATTTTATACCACCATCTTTAAAAAGACTTTCAAATTTTAAGAGTATTTTTGGAGGTAAATACTATATATATTAGCATTCAAAATATATTATTTGAAAGTGGTAATATAGGTCTTGAATTGACTTGGTGGACTTCATACAAAAATATAAAATATTATTGATAGCTCAAGGACCCATTAACAGTTTTTGGAAAAAATGCAAATATTTAATTTGTAATAAATATCATTTGACAAATATTGGATTTTATTAACTTTTGAAGTAACTTAGAATTTGATTGTAAAAATAGATATTAGAAGAAAAAGTAATATTACATACATTTAAAAAAAAAATAGTGAATAGAATCAAATAGAAGTATGTAAGAATATATTAAGTAAATAATATCTTCTTCAAGAAAAATAATTGATTTTTTAAAATAGAAATTATAGGTCTAGGTTTTATTTGATGCCCAATGTGGTTATAAAAACTTTTTGTAGAATTTGTTGCCATAGAATTATCCTATAATTTTGATTCCAAAATTTATGGTTTTTGGAAGCTTCTACATAGCCTTCTTCTCAATTAATATGTACAAAAGAAAGATTTAGGTTTCCATCTTATAGAACTCACATATAAGTATATTTTCTTTCAATAAGTTTTGTTTGAACTTATGTCTTTAACAAAGAAATTAATTAATACTATACTTAAAATTATGCAAATATAAAGTGGTCAAATTTAGACAAATACATACTATAAAATTGTTTTTATTAATATTATATAAAATTATTTAAATATCATGGTTTTACTTTAAATAGATTGATTACAATAATTTTTGTGCCAGTGAAAGACCAATGTATATATTATTGGTTTTATTAGTATGTGGTCAATGGATATGGGGTATCGAATAATTTAAAAATAATTTAAAAAGTTGTAGAAAATAAAAGATAATCTCTGAATAGAACAGACTAAAGATTATAGTAATGATTATTTCTCAGGAGGCGGTGTCCAATGTTTTGAAGTGTTTGATTCACTAAAAAGTATAGTAATAATTCTAATATGGGTCCACTACGTCCCAAATCTGTTACATATATTCAACTTTTCCTCCTAAAGTGGATAACGAGGAATTAGTACCTTTTTCTGTCTCTGATAATAATGCACATAAAGACACGAATACTTATCTCAGAGAAACTGACAAATTAATTTCATCTTTAGTGGAGGTCAATAGAAGGGTATAATTGAGTCTTAGGTTTGAGGTTTAAAAGGATGTTCGTGGGTCGTCTGGAAAGTTCTAGACGGCATGTGGCAACAAATACTGGAAGCTTATTTGTGAGAAAATTACTTTCAATAGAAGGTGCCAGACGCCGTGATATTAAAAGAGCGTCATTAAGGATGCCAGCTCAACTCACGGACTTATACTTGTAAAAGACGGTCTCGAGCCTTAACGTTCCTGAAAACTAGATGCAACCAACTCTTGAACGGCTGAAATTCCACAGTTACGCACGATACAAGAACACCATGAGGAGGGGTCACATGGAAATACATGCAAAAGGTCATGGAGGCTTGATTACCATGTCGATCTGAAGAGTGTTCTTCCGCCTATTGATAACCTTGTGGTGACTATCTGGGCAGTTTGCGACGATAACTAGTAGATATTATCATGTTGGAAATTTTGAAGTTGTGTCAAGCATCTCTTCAAGCCATGAGCTATGTTCCATTCACAGGTTTAGGAGCACAAATGATGTTCTTTGGTTCATTGCTGAAGTCTTCATCTCGGGGAGATTTGCTTCTTGTAGGTGAGGGGTTCTTCTGACCTCCCCATTATTTAAGTGTGGCTGAACCTCGAACAAGAGACCAGAGAAGATTGACCCTCCTAAGTATTGATTTAGGTCTCTTCAACTTGTGGCGTTACTTCCCATTAGGTAGCTCGCCTCAGAGCATGAGCTTCTGATCAAATACTTTGTCAAGATTAGGTTGTTTGGGCCTAACGACACTTACATTGCTGTAGTAAAATAGAGTAGCACATACAATCATTGAACATACGGACAAATATGTTGTAAAGATCTCAAATTCACAAGCAGTGATTCTCTTGAAATTTCCAGAGCTAAAGGATTCCTACGATGCTGTAAACAAGGTGAAATGGTCCTATTTCTAGACAAAGCACTGCAGAGAGCAAAAGTTTACCTTTGTTTGCTGGTGACTAAGCTTTGATATCAGCTGCTTCTGCTGCAACAGGAGAAGACAACTTGCTGCAATTGCTATCCTCCATTACAGTTAGAGGAGTTGCTATATCCGGAAGCCTTTCAGTTCTCCAAGGTGAGAAATCGACCGATCCAGAAAGTAGCATTTGGCCATCCACTTCATTCCAACTTATGCATCCATTCTTCCAACTTCCAGAAGAACTGGACTCCTCTTCCCAGACTGGACTCTCTGTATACGAGTCATCAAGTCACATTTGTCAAGTTCCAAAATGAGCAGAGGCCATGCCTGATTTTATTACAGAGTTATGCATGCTGAAAAAAGAAAAATACGATTAAAACAAACAACAGGATCTAAAAAAAAAAAAAAAAAAAAAAAAAAAAAAAAAACACGACTATCGCGAAAAAACTTCATGAATTCACAACCGCCTAAATAGCATGTGGCACTCAAAATCAAGATGCTAAGAGAAGAATTGATGGATTTAATCTGGCTATCGATTCCTCGACTCACCCCCATTTGAAGGTCCGGAAACCCTAGCTTGAATTTCGGCTCGCTGCAATTTAGGCTTCCTACACAGATGCTTTGTGGTCACAGCATGCCCATTGTTTCCAACATGTGTTGCATGTCCCCGTGGTTGAACATCACCTTCTGCAACGTCATTGGTGAAGAGATTTTCATTCGACAGGACCTGCTGAGGAACAGATAATTCGTGTGGGACTCTTTTTAGTTGCATCAATCTTCGTTTGTCATTATCACCTTCATGAATAATCCGCTCTCTATGGGGATTTATAGTACTTCTTCTGAAACTCGCATTTCCATTCAATTCCAGAAAAGGTAATCCATTCTCAACCACCTCCTTTACTAATTGTTCTCTAAGTACTCCACAACCTCTGTGTATGATCTGCTGGGGAGTGCAACCCCTGACTTCAACGGTTCGTTTCTCCAATCTTTCTTTAACTCCAACACAGTCATTCTCTCTAGTGTGTTGCGTCCATCTGCTTTGTGCTAACCTCTTCTGCAAAGCCCGCTTAATTCCATCATCTTCTCTGAAACTGTTCTCATGAAACACGTCTCTCTTTTCATATGTTTTAGTTTCTCTCATGCCTCTTGCTGTATTAACCGTATCTTCAACCTGGTCTGAGGAATTTTTCTCTACGCCCATCAGCCTTGTATTATCGTTTGCATTAAACCTCTCGTGCACGACCCTATAATCCCGTTGTACCTCGGCATTTGGCTCATCAACCACGTCATTTCCAATTACATGCGTTCTCCCTTTTTTCACCATCACCACATTGACCTTACATGTGTCTTTTTGAGAGGTTTCAGAGCGTGACCCCGAAGTATCAGTTGAGACTGACGAGGATGACACAGATGCAGTTGTAAGTTTTGTGGCATCACTTTTGTTTCTCATTGACGACAGCAACTTGGTCTTCTTCGCTTCATCTTGAAACTTGGGCAAACTACCTTCCATATTGACATTTTGAGTGATCCGAGAGCTGGTAACAAGTTTTCTTCTAGGTGAGTTTGAATGATCACCGCCGACTACACTTAACAATGTTTTGCGGTCATCCATGTACGTCCTAGTCGAGGCTGGTCTTTCTGATGCAGTAAATGGATTGCTGGAGCATGCAGAATCTTTTTGACTTCGAGCATTACTTCTACCAATATTTCTCGCCGCTGGTGAACTACAACTGCTTTCTTCGACGTATCTTTCGGGAGAAGAGGCAACAGAAGGGAATGAATTATCGTGATCCTGCAGAACAAAAAGTTGCAATCTGTTAAAGACATCGCTCCCACAACTGGATTCCATGATAAAAAGTAGAATGCAGATGCTCACTCGGTGTGCTTTCACAATTCAAGTAATTAAATCTATGATTAAAAGCTTTTTCATTGTTTCTACTTATAATATGACCCCTAAGTTAACAGGTTAAAAGTAGTAATCAACAAACAACAGTATATATCAAACACCAAAGAACTTATAATCTGCTTGTAATGCAAAGAATAGTTCATTTCTTTGTCATTACACAAAAAAGGAACAGCTAAAAAATAGACTAAGTAGTCCAATGGCTTGAGAAGGGATTTCGCCTTGCTCTGATCATTCTGTATTTACCTTAAGAAGCCTCTCTGAAAGACTGTTGATGAGAATCGGGTGGTTTGCATCTAAATCTCTGCTGAGACTTGAAGTCAACCTCGAAGCTGGTGAAGATGATGTAGCACTTCGGAGGCGTTCATCGAGGTCCTTTACCTACATATTCAAAAAGGAAATGCTTAACTGTCTTTGTTTTGTAGCTTTCCTCCGGCTAATAAAAATAAAATAAAAATAAAAAAACACAAGAATAACGTTCTTTTCACGGCAAAATGTGGCCAAATTAGAGTTTTGGGGAAAGAATGTCAAAGTAAATGAGACATTTTAGTTTAGATGAGTGATGACACTTCATTAAGTACAAAATACAACAGATTGCTCTGGTGGAACAAGACACAATTCATTGACTAAAAACAAGAGCAAGGAGAAGATACATTAGCTTAATGGTTAAAATTTAAATACGTCGCACCTGCTCTGTGAGAGATCCTAGCACAAAGTCTAGAGACTGTGCCTCCCAAGGGTCTAATTTAGGAGAAGAAGATTCTTTTCTCATGACTCTTGCAATTTTCTTCATTGGTGAAGACTTCCTTACTTTTGGAACAAATGACGATTTTGGAGATAACACGGCTGCAAAGTTTGGGCGATTCGTTGAACTAGGATTCGCAGAATCGCTTTCTTTATAGCCCATCACTCGGTCAATAGTTCTTGCGGGTGAATATGACAGCAATATCTTGTTCTTCGAGCAAGTCATCGGACTTTGAGATAGATCTGTCTCATTTCCGTGGTCTTCAAGATAAGGATTCCTCATTTCCTGATCTGGAGTACTTTTTCGAGGGAGTTTTATTGACAGCCATGGCTGCCAGTTAAAGGTCCCTTGAGAAGTTGGTACACTGATTAGTTCTTTTACTCGTTTCATGCCTTTGATGATATCCTCTTGATACTTTTCAGTTTTCCATGTACTAATCCACTTGTCAGCAGTATTGCCAGAAAACTTGGAACCCTCATCTCTCTTCACACTTCCTTCTCTTTCTTCTGAATTTAAGCTGGAATGTGATGTCTCCGCTTCTTTGAAATTGCCTTTCTGGCTCCTCAAAGGACCTGTCTCTAGAGGTACCTATCGACAACATGGAACTCACGATCCAATCAAAATTCATGTATTGAGCAATACGACCTTACGGCTTGACCATAGCAATTGGACAGTGTGCAGCAAGTCATCCTCAGAGGAAGAAGAATCCGCAATTAAAAAAGGTCAGCGTCAACAGATTCTATAAACAACAATTTACACTGTCAAATGAACTTGCGCATACCTGCTTAACAGATAATAGAGAACGTTTCGAAAAGGACTTGATTGTCGATGTTATATTCTCCAATGCCTCCACTTCAATTCCCTTAGAATTTGTTGCAAAGTATTTCCATGAACGTGGAACTGAAATGCCTCTTGAAAATCTTGATCTTGACATGGGAAGGATTATATCACTGCCTCCTGGAGTGAAGCAGTCTCTTACGTTTGAATGGGCTACTGTACGTTCTGATCTGGCTTCCGATTGGAAATTGTCCTGGTCAACAGTGGAACTATCAGGTCTTGAGCGGATGGCCCTTCTTATTCTTAGAGCAGGAGAGGAAGGTTCCGATTTGATCGATCGGTTTCCTGTGGCAGCCTTGCGCCTATTTTTTTTTGTTTGCATCTTCTCATTAATGAAACTTTTCCAAACTGCTTTCTGTTTCAATTTCAGTTCCTGGACAGCCTTTTCTTGATGCTCCATGTCATTTCCCTTATTTGAGCTATCTCCAGATTTGCAATCTTTTAAAATTCTCTGCGCAAACGAATGATTTTCAAAATTTTGCTGCCGCGTTGGGATTTAAAGACTACATCATCTCCATTGCGGCAAAGGATATTATCAAACCTCAGTACAGTTCACATCAATTGGTTCAAAATAAAATCACATTGACGCCTTCGCCATCACTTGACAAGAGTTACTTGTTTAAGCTAATCAACTCAGTAAAAATATTCAAGGTTTGGATTAGAAATGCGTGATATAAGTTCTTTCTCTCTTAACAAGAAGGTTGCACCTCATCTTAGCTGATATAGTCCAGAGTAACCATGGATTTACCTCGCTGGTGCGGACGCCAGCAACATTATTGCACATGGAAGAATTAGATCTGCTGCTATTGTTCCCGTTCCTCGGAAATCCTGCCTCTATGATCACTTTTGAAGTAGAATCCTTCCTAAGTCCCTCCATATCATTTGATTGGTCTTCACAATTTGCCAGCATTTCTCCTTTGACAGCTTTTGATGCATTGTTCTCACAAGGATTTGGGGGTTCAGAATAGGGAGGCAAAAGATAAGCTCCGCCTTTTTTGGGCGGTGCATCGTCCTTGTTAACCTCAGAAGAATCGATTGCATGTGGTCCAGATAATGGACGGCACCTTTCTCTTGGAGAGGATGCATGTTTACAAGCGACCACGCTCTCTTTCACATCGTCCAGATCTGGACCTTCAGAAAGTCTCTTGAGTTTCATTCTTTTACTTCGCATGGATGAAGTCCTCTCTTTATTAGACGTTGCTTTTCTCCCCTCGCTTTCGCTCGTTTTCGCTGGTCTAGAGCTCTGAGGCATGAAAGATTCGGGAAATATCTTCTTGTATCCGACAGTACCAGAAGATATGAAGGGAGGTCGGGATACCTTCAAAGACTCTGGTAGAGATTTCTGTATTTCAACTCCAGTGTCTTGAACGCAGCTTTGTGTTGCTCTAATAGAGTGAACTGCCTGACAAACCTCTTCAACCCCTGGAACTGATTGCACATGACATCGATTTGCATTTGGAAAAACGTTTTCAGTAAGGCTCTTCGTTATATCGTCATTTTCCCTTGCTCTCCATCTTTTTGTTGGTCTTAAAATGTTCTTCTCGCCTCTCTTTGATGAGTTCATTTGCCCCTTTGAGGTACTCTCGTTACTAATGACATCCCCCAGTGCTTTGTTTAATCTGGAGCACCTGATGTGAGATTTCACACGCGTCGATTTTATAAGATTACCTTCTCCGTCTCTAGCAGTAATCAGCCCACCGTGCTCACCACAAGAAGCCCTGATAGGAGATACCCCTTTCCTCTTTGATTGAGCTGGAAACTGTTGCGGAGACTTCGTAACTTCAAGTTCGAGAAACAAGCCTGCCGCGTCAGTGACATTCAGCTTGGCAGATGGCTTTAATTCTTCCCCAGAAAAAGACTCTAGTTTACTTGCACTTTTATCATTCAGCTCCTTCTCTACCTCATGCTGTACCCCTTGCTGCAACTGGTATCTCGCAAGATCTGCCAATTCAGCTGTCTTTTCTTGCGTTCCAATGCTGGGCAGGTTCTGATCTTGGTGCTTTTCGGCATTGGGGACAGGATAACTTAAAAGCGGTTCAGGTTCTTTCTCGGTTTTAGCAATAACAGTCTGGTCGTCGAATGCGTCCTGCTGATATTCTGGACCCTCAGTGATCACTGAATCTGCGCAATAATCGGACATAGAGAATAAAGGTGTAAGAATGTACCTAGCAGTTTAATGAAAAATCAGCCAAAACCTGCTCACTTCTGTGTACGGACAATAAGAATGTTTAATCGAGCATACCTACCTTCATAACTGTAGTAGGTCGGTATGGAAGTGGGAGGAGTGAGTCATTTACGTAGAGTGTGTGGCCGGTTACTATTAGACTCCTTAATGGCAACAGTGGAATGAATACACGTTATCAACTTCGAACACAGAAGGACTACAAACGAAACAGAAAAATGTAAAGCAAAATCTAAATGGACAAGTTACAAACATGAGTTGAAGATGTGTACTATCCCCAAATTCCCTTATAAATCAGGAAATGTATCTAAATGGGTGGCAACAATCACTTCAATGCTGGGTGTTAAAAACATGCTCATCAGGCTACGTTTCAGTTGAGACCGGTCAGTCGTTGACACTCGCTCTGTGTACTTTACTCTTTCTAGGGCATACCGATATATTAACCGTCCCTGTTCCACCATCAGGTTTGCACTCGAGATTTAGTTCTGAGGTTGGTTGTTTTCTAACTGGCTTGGGCGGAGTCGAAGTTAACTGTACATGACTCCTACACCTGGAGCATGTGAGGCTGGTATGTGGCAAACCTGTATAAAACACCCCACAACACCCGATGAATCTTCAATTATGCTTTCAAATGGCTGTGAATGTTGAGTTGGTGACGCATGTCCCAAGCCTCCTAAGTTATGTAAGCTACTGTCCAAGTTCTTAGGTTCTGAACAGTGCAAGAGAAGTAAACCCGATACGATAGGTCACCATGATACATACTTCGCACACCGAGGCGTCCAATGTTCAAACAAAAACTTAAGAACAACCATTTTTCTGTGATCATTTGATTTTTTCTAGATTATCTCTCATCTACACACATCTCACTAGCACTTAAAGAGAATTTACCTGGGCATGAGAGAGGGTTCGAGATTTTGTGCTTCATATAAACAATGCGTCTTTCTTGGCTGGCGAAGGTTTCTGGCTTGCAGATGCCTGAGTTTGTAGCGGCATGTAAGCGATCTTTCTCCCGCTCTTCTTCCCTAAAAGCTTCTTCCACTTCTTGCTCCAGCATTGCCATTCTCTATTGACATTCCAATTTCTTGCCGTGAAGAAGGCAACACATTCCATACTTGTACGAAAAAACTGTACATCATACTATAGTCCAGGACAATCCACACTAAGTAGAAAAGAACTGCTTTTTCTAACTAAGAACTTTAGTCACGTGTATATCAGGTTGTCCTTTTGATAGTTGCACCCAGCTTCCATGTAGAAACAACGCATATTCAATGGTTTCCAAAAATTACATAGCGACACGAGTATATAGGAATGTGGCTCAAGTTCCCAGAAAGAATACGGCAGTAAAATTGAAATACCTGGTCATTCAATAGCTTGGCAGCTGCAGCAGTTCCCCTCTCAAGGGACCGCTCATTGTAGAGTCTTTCAAGTTCAACCCTTTGCGCTCTCTCACACCTGTTTCTTTCCCGCCGTGCATCTGCAGCACGCCACGCATCAACCTCTTCCTGCTCAGGACAATTTACCACCGCAGAAGAAGGTTGATTTGTGCAATATTGTAGAACATCAAATCGGGAATGCAGATACGTGTCCCTGAAATCGGCGGGAAACCCCGCAAGTCTATGGTAGGATTTCTCTCGTTTTGTATCGTGGGTCACTGGAGGATTGACCGTTTGAAAGCATCCTGGAGGATCAACATGTCACCTTCAGTTCCACTGTTCCACCCCAAGAATAATTTTTGGCAGGACATAGCTTAGAACAAAAGGATTCCGAAAAGTATGAAGAGGTGGGAACTGAAAGACAGAACTTAATGAGCTAATTGAGCAGGTGTATCTTCCTACGTGTGCCTAAGCATAATATCCCAACGATTTCAAGAGCTGGGCCAACATAGAGTATTTTGAATCTCAAGTTTTGAATTACGGTTCGATCTGATCAAACCTGCTTTGTTATGTGCCAATCTTTACATGCAGGGATAAGATCATTATAGTTGGGTGCATTTACAAGAGTTTATTTCTATACCAAATACTTGTTTGTTGATTGGTTTCAATTTTGCTCCATGATTGTAACGGCGGGCAAAACTCCGCTCAATACTGGATACACTCTCCACAATCTTTCTCCGCAATGTTGAAGTACAATACTCCCTCTCTTTCCTCTCTTTTAGCTCACGTTCCTTGTGACATGTTATAGGTATCCCATAGGTGTTAGGTCTGAGCAGTACGGATTATTCAACTATAATTGTAGATCTATTGCTTGAACGTAAGCATGCAGAATAACAGTAGGAAGTCAGTCACAGAATGTGATGTAGTAAATAAAATTTCCTGACAATGACTTCATGATTGCACCTTAAGCATGGCCTCCTCAAACCGCAAAGTGTCCCAACCCCTGCCCTCCACCACCTGTCTTGCTAACAATTCCTCTTTTGCTGCCTGCAAGTTCTAACAAGGATCTACCTCACCTCTGTTGTGTTTTAATTCCAAGTATAAATGCAACTTTCACGTCAACAGCAACCGCGCCAGATGACCTCTATGAGGACTATCTAGAAGCTCAACTGAAATTTTACTTGTGCACAAAAACCTGTCTCATATTTTAAGACTATTATGCACTCAACAAACGGCTGTCAGGCACTGTCCTTGACCACGCGAAAACCGCGACTAAACCACCCAAGACAACGAGCAAAAAAATGGATGCACATAACAAGATTTTTACAAGCTAGGAATACATTTTTACACTGCATATTCTTTTTTCTGCACTTACAATAAACCCAACATTGATCAAGAAATGGTGACAACATAGTATCTCGAGTAAATGGAAAATATACCCTGTTCTTCTCGACCAACACTGCAGCATCATGGCTAAGACCAATACTCCGGCATGCACCCGCAAATTCTTCCTCCAAACTTTCAATGCGCCGCCTCTGATCTTTCTTCCAAACCTCCTGGATCCCTTGCATGAAAAACTCATAAGTTATACTTACATTTATCTAGCTTAAATTGTAATGAAACCTGAAAACAACGGTGCAGTACAGATATTAAACAAACGAATTTGTGGTAACTGAAGCAGCGATTTGATATTCAAGAAAGAGTTGGATACTAGATGGACGAAGATGAACCACTGAGCATGGACATGACAGTAGCAGAATACCTTGAGATGATTTAGGAGTAGCTTGCTCTCTTCAGTTTTACGATACTCAAACTCTGCTACACGCTGTGATGCCGAAAGCCTTTCTTGGGCTCGCACCTAATCCAGAACCACGCCACCAAGTAAAGTAAGGTCGTGATCGTCAATTCAACGCAAAATTTTGCAGAAATATGCTCTATAAAATACTTAAACCAAAAAATGAACAGGAAAGATGCAAATATAATTAGACTACCATCACTATGAGGACTAGATCACGTTTAGAAAGAAGTTATGGTCAGTTGAAACTAAAGTTACCAATTTCTGAATTGACTATATTGTTCAATTTCCCAAATAATTACAGCAAGACTACAAGAAAACCACATCGTTGACCCTTTGCTACTGCAACTTGCAAATAGAGTCCGCACTTGGCTAGCATAAATGGCAAATTACAATCAAAGCATTCACACCCTGCAAGATCTCCCTCGCTTAATTAAAAGGTGCAATGCACTAACAAACCTGCAGAATGCGATTCATTCGTAACTTCTCATGATATTGGCGGCATGCCTGCTTTTGCCTCTCAAAAGTGAGAGAGCAATTACCACATGCCTGCAAGGGTCAATTGTAAAACATCTGTAGCGGAGTGCTCGACAAAATGCCTTTCAACACCATCTCTTCCCTTATTATGACCTAGGCCAGAAGAACAACCAATATTCAACTTTTCCGAAGTCAGGCTTAGAGTGTTTTAATAAGGAGGTTGTGCTCGAGAGACCTATATCTCAAATCAGACAACCTGGACAACCTGAGCAACCCGAGAAGGACTAGAATCCACTTGGAAAGGCACAGCACTGGTAAACTCACAAAAAACCCACTTGCTTCTTGTCAATCAAAATTGGCCAGTTTTAATTTCTGTGAAATGATGTTTCTGATCAACGTTGCCCAATCCAAGAAGATAATTAAGATGAGGTCTCAATAAACGTGGAGATATTGCATGTTCGGGAGATGTACCTGGCCTATTGGTGGCACAGGTGGAGTGAGACAAAGGGTTTCCTGCACTTGCCGCTGGAGATTCTGCTTCCGTTTATGTCTACACAACTCTAACTTACACTTTGAAAACGCCATGTATTATCCAGAACCCTAAGAGCAACAGGTTATTCTACGATTCCTGCCAATCGGCCGCAATGCAGATTGCGCTACAATTTCATTGTTAGGGCCATCGACGAATTGTACAAAGTTTCAGAATCAAAAATTCAGTGCTCCATTCTTAGTCATGTCCTTATCTTCCGCATTTTTAGTCATCTTTCTTCTTCCACCATAAGCTGATGTCTAACCTTTAAAGTGCTCTTATAAACCAACAATTCAAACTATTAATACCGTGATCATGTCCGGATAATTTATCTTAACTCGGATCTTAAATTTGCGCCCTCTTGTCAACAGAGTTGTCCATTCAATACCATCCACATTTGTAATTGAGTGAGAGGGCAGCAGCTCACAAGATGGATATATACAGTAGGCGGCAACCAAAAGTCTCAGTGATGAGTTGTGCTTGGACAGCTATCGTGCATCATCCACCTTATAGCAAGGCTCTTCCAATCCAACTCAAACGCAAAACCAATGCGTAAATAACCTTAACATGAGTCTTGTGTAAGCAATTGGTTCTGAAGTCCGAACCACAGCAACAACGAAAACCAAGAAAGAAGGTCGAAATACTGAGAAGAATTCCTCCACTAAAAAAATGCGGGAATACTTCTCCAAACTCTACAAGAAAAGGTCCTCATAAATTAACACCAAGAACTTCTTCAACGCTTTGTATAATCAACATGTATCACATTCATCTCCTGAACGGTGTGACCAGCACCATCGTTGCAATGCCGGATTACAACCATTCGAGCTTTGAGGAAGAAGAATTAACATCTGTTCGTCCATCTCCATAACACATTTCCAGAATTCCCGAGCAGGAGCAGAACAGCTTACAACAATAGATAGTCACTTCACCACATCACGTGCCTGCCTCGATTAGGTTGCTTGGATTAATCAATGCATCAGCGATACACCTCCACAGCGATGTGCTTTCTCCGCAAGTACATGCAGAGGGCAGATTGCCATGACCCTTGCCGTATAACCTAACGATGTAGTCATCAAATGGACCATATCATTACAGGGCTGAGGGAGCAAGCCGAGGCTTCATCGACAGTGCCATGAACAATAGCGGAACGGGACACACACGGGACATGAAAGGTAGTTGCGCCGCACCTAAGCTGGCTGGCAGGCAGGCAGTTTAACGATTCTTTGCCTTCTCTGTCAGCAATGGCAAAAGTAGGAATGTTTGAAAGTCACACACTTGCTGCGACGTGAAACCCTAATCGTGCGGGGCTGCTGGGGAGGAAGTGAGTGCATCGCCTCAATTTTGAAGCCAAGCTTTGTGTCGAGCTCCAAGCCCTTGAGGGAGGAATTGCGCCATTCTCTGTCGCTCCAATCAAACTCTCATAATAGTCATGGGCAAGAGTTGAACTTGCAGTGTTGGTTTTATGTTTAAAGCATTAGAATCACTTGGTTTTCACCCTGGTCTCCAAGGTGCAAACATGGCAGTGGGTATTAAAGGAACCTTTACAAGTTATTTTCAATAGAAAGAGGTATGATATTGGCTCTGTATCTCTTCAGCCTGGTTGGTGAACTTCTTCATATTGCTATTTAATATGTTGTTTACGAACACCATATACAAGGTGTTTTTATTCTTTGGAGCCCTGATTAACAAGTCATTGATCAATATGCTGATGACTCCACAATCATTGTTTAAGGTGATGAAGAAAATGTTTTGTGTTGGGTAAATATTTTCAAGCAGTTTAGCTTGGTTTCAAGTTTGGAAATAAATTGGTCAAAATCTGTTATTAATTTAAAGAAAAAGAAAAAGAAAAAGAAAAAAAAAAACAAGCATATCCACATTATTAAATCAATTTTGTTGGGTATGGGCAACTTGCATTAATATTAGCAAATTCTTTAGATCCCCTATGGTATTTTCTTGAACACACAAGATGTTAATAAATTTTGAATCAATAGAATGACAAAGAAATTAGACTCCTAGAGCTCTACAAAAATTAATATAAAAAGATAAGTTATTATAGCAAATAACATTATACTTTATTCTTTATACTATTTTTTTAGCTATATGAGCTAGCTCTATAAAAGTAGTTTCAAAGATTAAAGTGTTGTTAATTTCTTTTGTAGAAAAACATTACATCTTTAATCCATTTTAAAGTGGCATAGGCTATTTTTTGTGATGTTTGTTGTCATATTATGTGAAAATTAGATAGAAAATACTAAACTAAAATGACTATTGCCAAAAATGAGAAAATTAGAGGCTCTTAAAACAAGACTAAAGATAAGAAAGGCATTGATAAGAGTGAAGAAGGCTTTACTCTTGCCTCCATATATATTTTCTAATTAGAAATTGCATGGCGACATTCTATATGACCTCCAACATGTGTCCAATTCATGTTGAAATAAAAGAGAAAGAAGAATAAGTGACCTTGTAGAGGATATTACCTTAGGTAGGTTGCTAATGATCAAAGGATTGATTCTTGGTGTATAGAAAGGGCATCCTATGGATATAGGATGAGTTCAAGGACCAAGAGTCAAAGTCAAGAGGATAAAGTATAAACTAGAGAATATCTAAAGACTAGGTAAGAGTAATTAGTGTTTGGCATAGGATATCTTTGTGGTTAGTAAGATGCCAAAGAATCTAAAGACTATAAGATACCCTCGAGGTATGTTAGATACCAAAATATCCTAGAATCAAGGATCATATGTCTAAAAGTCAATGAGTAGAAGTTGTCCTCTAGGGCCACAACCAACACCCAACACCCAATAGTATTGGGTGTTGGAAGTAAGAGACATCTTACTCCATACTCTCTTTGTGTACAACCTTGTTGATGCTATATGTTGTGACTTCAAAGTTCTATTTCTTCAATAGATTATGGGCCCACTCACCTTTAGTTGTGAGTTTTGAAGTTCTTTAAAGTTGTTTTGTTGTAATGAGGAGTAGATCTTATGGTTGTTGCTAATGTAAGAATTTGGTATCTTCTAAATCTCTTTTTGCATCTAGATGTTGATGTAGTTGTGCTCTTACTTGTTGTTAAGTGAATTCATCATCTTGGAGATTGTCATATACTTTAGAATGTTATTTAAGAATATTAGTGGTGTGTTTTTTTGCTGACCTACCTCATTGATACACTAACATTGAACTTTATCCTCATGACTTTGACTCTTGGTCCTTTTTTAATCTACTAATCACCTACAAATATGTACAAAGTCAAATTTGGATCTATACAACTTTTTACAAGATATTATGGAATCTATTTAATTTTATTTATTTTTATCTATTCTTTTAATGTATATATATATATATATATATATATAAATATATGATATTATTTCCTCCTAAAAACATGTTCTATAAGGAGGTATGAAGATATGTTGAATAAGTCCAAGATGTAACAAAATATATTTTCTACATACTTTGATCTTTATTTGTTTTAAATGTAGTTGATATGTTATCATATAATGTGAATTTTAGCTAGAAAATACACCAAATACCTAAATGTGGAAGATAAATAGAAAAATGCAACAACAAGATCCTAATAAGTCTAATAGAATCTTGAATAAATTCTAATTAAACCTTAACAAATCTAAACAAACTTTAATCAATCCAAAAGAAGTTTAAAAGAAATTATTAAAAAATATATATATATATATATATAAAAAATTCATAAATTAATCTCTAAGAAAAATAATAAAAAAATCCTAAAAAAATCCTAAAATAAAATATTTAAAAAAAAAATAATCTTAAAAAAAATACTTAACATAAAAACTTCAATAAAATGATAATTAATCTTTATAAAAATAAAAATAAAATTTTTAGATAGATCCTAGATAAATCCTAAGTAAATCCTAATCAAATCTTAATGTAATTCTAGACAAATCTTAATGAAATCCTGACCAAATTCTAATTGAATCTTATCCAAATTCTATACTTTAAATCAAATCTTAAATAAATCCTAAATAAGTTCTAAATAAATCCCAAAAAATATTAATTAATTTCTATAGCTATTTTAAAAAATTTAATAAATATTAATAAAAATTTTAATTCTAATTAAAATTTTACTTATATTTTAATTTACAAGAAATTAATAAGCTCACAAAATTTGAAGAAAATCCAATACACTAATAGAAGGAAAAAGCTCCTAAATCTCTTGAATACCGGATGCCTTTCTTCTCTAATTTAGTTGTTGATTTTTTAGCAATGATTTCTCCTTGTTGAATTATTTAATTACTTCAAAAAATGGCTAGTGTATAGATTTGTAAGTCCAAATTGCTCCCTCTAATTTTTTCTTCAATCAAACTAGCAGATTTTGTAGGATCACAAAAATCCTTACTTATCTTAAATTCAAATATTTGAGACTTTAATCCAATTAAACTCTAATATATTTTAATCTAACTATTTGATCAACATCAAATTTTTTAAATAAACTTAAGATAAATATAGTAATGATCTTACAAAATTTCACTAATAAATGTACTACAACACTCATACAATCCTTAAAATTGTAAATTTCTTTTTATTTCTCAAAATCTAAAACCACTAAGTACATCTCTTACTTTGAAAAGCCCTCAAAATCTTAATATGTCTTCAAATCATATGAAACTAATTTCTAAAAAATCTTTCACTAGTCTGCTCTCAAATCCCACTCTTTAATCAACCAAAGAAATCTGAAATTGCCATGGGTGTATAGTTTTATGCCTCAAGGTCTAAGTTCAATCTTGGTTTACAGCTGGTAGAAATTCTTGTTGTTTTGAGCTAAGTTTTATAAAAATATATTCATAATATTCTTCAAAATATTCTTATATGATTTATTTCTTAATCTACTTTGTTTTTTTCTTATTTATGATCTTATAAAAATAATAGAAGTTTTTTTTTATTTATAAAAAAGTAGCATCAACATTAAAAGTTTTTACAATCTTCTTATTAGTTATCCATGTTTTACTACTATATCTTTCTACTAGACTCTTCTATAATAAAACTCATATTTTTATCTTGTACCATATAGTTATATTATCACATGATAATATCCTCCTAGCCATCAATAGTCTTTTATAGAAGGATGGAAAGACCACCATGACATTAAATCATTATTGAGGCCTTTTTAACTTCTTTTAAATAAAATATATAAATAATTATCAAGGGTGGTTTCTACCTCCAATAATATCAACCAAACATTGAGTCTCTTCTAAGGTCGTAATATTAAACATGTCTATCTTATCATCTGTTTGTATTTTTTATTTTATTTTATTTTATTTTTTTTGAAAATCTTCATTACTATTATATCATCTTAAAATTTGTAATAATCTCAATGTCATATTCAATAACTCAAAAGAACAATAGCTTACAATTTGAATTTTTTGATTGTTAATTTTTCATCTCATTTGTGCCACAAATATACAAAAATCACATACAAAGATAGAAGATAGAATATAATCTTTATTAAATCTTATTTTTCATATAATAAATAATTTCTTGACTCTTCAACTTGGTTTTGATAAATGTTATTGATAAAAAGTATCAACCTTCTTTGTTGCATTTGTAAGATTTTTGGTTAGTTTCCATGTACATTCACTAATAACATATCTTTGCCATTGTAGAAGATATTCGAATCTATTATGGCATTGTATTATGTCCATGACTTCTTCAACTTTTGACTCTTGATTATTATTCACTTATATTGGAAGAGATGATATTTATATTCCTCTCAAAATATTTAATGTCTTATATGACTCAAAAAGAAATATGTAGAATATGCAATGAATCTTTATAGACTTCAATAAGTATATTAAGGACATAAATCTCAAAGAACTAAAAGATTGATATACTCTTGTCTCACTCAAAAAGACTAAAAAATCATTCATAGATGGTACAATATTAAATTAGAATGGCTATTGCAAAAATTAAGAAGATTAAAAAGCCTTGAAACAAGACTAAAGACTAAAAAGACATTGACAAGAGTAAAGAAGGCTTCATTCTTGGCTCCATATATACTATCTAATTAAGATCTAAGTAGAAATATTCTATAGGACCTTTGACATGTATCCAACTTGTAAGATATGTATCTAACTTATAAGATAATTTTCTTATATGTACACCATATAATTAGCTTGTATCATAAGCTATCAATGCATGCAGCACATGACTAATTTATTGGCCAAATTTCTAATCTACCAATCAACTATAAATACCTCTAAAACCAAATCCACATTAATGAAATTTCTAAGATGCTTTGCTACAAGATATTATAAAATCTATTTACATTTATTTTTTATCTAATATTTCTTTTAGCTTAGTAATTATATTTATTTATGACAAGATATAATTAATAAGTAAGTAGATTATTTTTTTTATAAATAAAAAATAGTTTAGGACTATGGCAATCAAACTTGTCACAAAAAAAAATAGTCTTCATATGATAATTAAGTAATCTCAACTTGTTGCAAATGTAAAATTTGGATTGTTCTTTGCAATAGATATTTGTGTTGATCTTTATTTTTCTTAAGCTTCTTTTAATTATGCCTTTATTATTATACATAGCTCTGATAAATA